AAAAGAGTGTTTTACAATGTTAGGCAGTTGCTTTCCTTTGGAAAGGATGTTTTTGGTGTGTTTATTTATTTACTTATTTAATTTATCAGTGGTAAAAATTGTTTGATGAATATTAAGTGTCCATTACAATTTGAGAAATTTAAGCTTGCTCTCTTCTTGGTTGAGTTGATTCCCTCTATTTCCTTGTTTTTTTTGACTATTTTATTATGGAGAATACTTTGTCCTTTCCCTAATTCTGCTGCCCTTTTTTCTTTCTCATAAAATTTCTTTTTCTGAAGAAATTGTTATTGTGTGACATAATATGATTATCTTTTACTGTAGGTGGAGAGCACTCCCATTCTCACGGTAACCATGAAGATCATCATGACCATGATGCCAGTTCTGGACATGGTCATTCACATTCTTTAGCTGATCTTTCTACAGGAATATCCATCCTTGGTTAGTAGTGATATGCTTGATGTTCTTACTAATCATGTAGATTGTTCATTCACCTGTAAGGATATTTTAAATTATTGGCTTCCTTTACTTCCACTGGTTAATTGCAAGGGATAAGTTTATATTTTGTCTTATTTTTATTCAGATAATTAAGAATTTTAGCCTGGTGAAAGGAAGTTTATTACGTAGTCTTTTGTTACTAATGGTAGGATAGAATATTGTTTCGGGGATGGGAATTCAACATTGTATTTTTCTGCTTAATGACATGCTTGTAGCTGTGATTAATCTCTTTATATTGGTCTTTATATTGGTCTTTATATTATTCCCTCAATTTTCTTTCATCTCTGTATTTGTCTAATCATTTTACTCTTCAAAAATTAGTATTATGCAGATTGGTTCTTTAATCTTTTTAGGACTGCTATTTCTTACAAGTTTTATGGTTCTTGCAGCTGGAATTGTACTATTTCTTCTTGTGGAGAAGATTGTGAGGTATGTTGAAGAAAACTCTGGAGGAGCAAATTCTTGGACGCATGGACACCACCACCATAACCACCATAACAAGAAAAAAGTGAAAGATGATAATTGTTCTACTGTCAACTTGCAGTCACAGTCTTCTGATGCCAAAGAGGAGAGATTGCTAGATGAGAGAAAAGATGATCAGGTGTCACATGACTCTTTGAAGGGAGATAATCCATCTCAATCTGAAACCTCACTCAGAAAGGTAAGATGAGCACTGGTGTGTCACTACAGGTGACAGGTTGGAATGCACCATTGGTTTGGTTTGAACCATTGTTGATATCACATGTATGCAATGACTTTGACCAGTTATATGCTGGCAATTACTAAGACAAATAGGATAATAATATATGCAATACCTGAACAAATGGAATAGATTGGTTTCAAATGTTTGTATCAGACATCTAGTTTGAATGGAATATTGGAGGTAATGGGAAACATTTATCTGACATGATATATTTGTATTGTATCATAGAGAATTGGAAGCAATGTGACCAAAGGTGATAATCTCGACACTAGTATTGTAGATAGCTCCACAAATAATATCAAATCTTCAAATGTTAAGGAACCAGTTAGATCGCCAACAAGTCTTGTGTTTGGTTATCTCAATCTTTTCTCTGATGGAGTGGTAAGTTATATTTTGACTTTTTATTGGTTGTAATGAGGGAAAGCTTTCAATGTATTCATGCAAAATATATTAATATTGCAGCATAACTTCACTGATGGAATGGCATTAGGAAGTGCATTCTTGCTTTATGGATCTGTTGGTGGCTGGTCTAGAACTCTGTTTTTGCTGGCACATGAGCTGCCTCAAGAGGTTCAAATTCATCTTTATTATGTATCACATGTTCAACATTATGCCAATTTGCAGAACATTTTCATCCCATTTTCATCTTTCAGGCATAATGTAATTGTAATGGACAATTTCTCTAAGGCCTGAAAAGTTTGTTTAATTTGACAATGTGCAGCAAATATGTATCTTTGTTAATTTGAGACGTTTATTTTTCTTATTGCCTCATATATTTCATTAAGTGCTCAGATCTTTTGATTACTTGATTTTAACATGAGAAATTTAGGACCAATTTATTAAAACTTGCAAAATTATGGTGTCAGAATAGCCAAAACACATGATTTATCTGATCACCACTGAATTAAATGCTCATTTTAATCTTCATCATTATGTACTTTTTACTAGCATAAGGTACTGTAAAACTAAATGAATATTGTTATGCTATACAGACTTCATCTGGTGGCATTTATGCATACATTCCACATTCTTGTCATAGACAAAACAAATAATCATTATCCTCTTCCTTTTCTATTTTATCTCTTTAGTTTAGAGCAGTTACATAACTTGAACTGACTCCCCTCCTTATTAGCTCTTCACTCTTGATCTTATGTTAACTCAATCTTATTTAACTCTGTTCACATTGGCTTTGTTAAGTGTGTAGTCTAAGTTCTAAAATTGAAGTAGTCCCACATTGTTTAGTTTAACTTACTTATTAAGTCCCACATCACTTAGTTTGTAATGCTTGCCTCTTCCTTATGCTATATATATAGAGGCACCTTGTAAGGTTTAAGACACACCAAAAACAAATACTCTTAGTATTGTTTATTTCTCTCTTCTATCCTTCTATTCTCTCTTTTAATGCCAGTTGCCTAACAACTGGTATCAGAGCTCTAGGTTCGGGAGAGTATTCTTAGTATGCTCTGTGGTTGCAGTTTTATCTGATCTTCTACAACAGAAAAGAATAATCTTCAGTTTAGAGAGTGAGAGGAGAGTATTCTTAGTATGCTCTGTGGTTGCAGTTTTATCTGATCTTCCACAACAGAAAAGAATAATCTTCAGTTTAGAGAGTGAGAG